TCTCACCCCCCCCCCCCCCTTTTAATTGAGCCTTTTATTCGGGCCTTAAAAGAAATACGTACTGTACTTCCGCAATTCTCATCACGACTTCCGGTCATGGGAAGGAACCGGTGGAACGACATCTGCATGGTGGCTTATGTCGTCAATATCGACATTTTTTTTTATTCTACAAACCCCGTATTTCGTATATTTGCGAGATACTGCACTGTATGTGCAAAGGAAAGATCATTTGCATCCACAGAATGTGCTGGAAGCGATCCTTCTTTTTTTTCACCGCGATAAGACCGAATTTCAAGAGCTTTTTTTTTAATGCCTTGTGTTTAATTTTACAAAAGATTCGATGCTCTTGCATCTTTCAAACGTCATTTTCAAAATTTCTCCCATGCAGCACCTGCAGATGAAAAAGTGTGAATTTATGAAGTTATTCAATTTTTGAAGAAATGACCTTCAAAAAAATAACGATATTTCGGTGAAAATGTGTTACTGCAAAGATTGCCTAAAAATTGACAAAAAGGGATCGCTTGAAATATGACTTTTGAAAAAAATCTGAAGCTTGACTCGGGTCAAGTTGAAGCACATTTGAGTGCATGTATTTTTTTCGCCATCAAAAAATTTAAATTTACATCTTTCACGTCCAACATTGTCAAAAATCACTTGCTGGAATATTCGAATTTCTTGAGGTGGATATCTGGATAACAATGAAAAAGCGGCTTGTTCATCCGTACTTCGCTGATTTTCATGCATATTTTAATGAGAATACTGCTTTACTTAGTATTTTTTTCAATTCGAGGCTTCATAAGCGAAACTAAAAAGGCTAACACATTATTTTTATTCGTGATTTTGCATCTTCAAAATCGAATGAATCCCCATTTATAGTGATCAAAGCAAGTACAAACATTATCAGGAAATTTATTGGAATCGCAGTGGAGATGGGTTTTGAATGGTTTTGAATTTTGATTGTTGCTTTCAGCTACTGTATAATGTTATGGATTTTCTGGGTCACCCTGTATACTTCCTCTTCCTACATCCAATACGCAGCCGAGGAAGCAAATTATTGGTCAATATGAGGCATTCGCTCTTTATTTCGTGCAAGTGCTTTCTTCCGAGTACACTCATCGAAAATCAAAAATGTACGTGATGCGTCAACACGTTCAAGCGTCGGGATTCCTCGCAGGAATTTCGGGCCTGCCATAAAAGCTGCAAATTTGCGAAACGCTTTCGGAATGACCACATTTCTGTTCTTCACTTGAGTACTCTCCTGGTGTGCTGAGCTGTTTTAGTGTCCATATGACGATTGAAAAGAAAGCGGTATCTTATCAAACTCGGACTGCTGTACGTTGCTCTTGACCATGGGACACCCCTTCAATAAGTCAAAGAACTCGTCTTTCTTCCTACTTCCCTTTATACACCCTAGCTGATAACTCTTGTTCCCCAGTGCTGTTCCTCGCTCTTATCTCAGTCTGCAGCATAGGAGCAAGCGTGAAAACCATCATCAGTCGAGAAACACATTGGGATGACNCTGTAAGATTATAATAAACTCAACAACTAGACACTCATGATGCGTGGCATATAGTTTGATACGTTTATTTTTATTTTTTGTTGCGAATGAACTGAAAACGTCCAGAAAAGGCAATTACAGTATAATTCGAAGTTTTGTCTACAAAATTTGCTGAAGCGTTCATATTAATTCATGAATCTCTGCTGTTGAACCAACAATAATTTTTTTTACATTCTTTTGGGAAAATTAGCATCACCAATGAATTCATTTCATATTTCCTGATTGCTTAAATAGTCGAAATAAATGCACATTGTCGCGAATTTTGAAATGTTGTCCCACATTTTAGCAATCCAGCTGGCCGAGATTTTGCGGAATTGGTGGAAAGCGTCGCTTACATTTTAGTGCAACAAGAAAATGTGAATCTCGCCGTTTTTCGCAGGATCTTCTCTTCCCGAGGCGTGAGTTTATATATACTGTAAAACGTATATACACTTCATATTTACCAGAAAATAAATTGAAGCATTATTGTCGCCCAGTCCCCTTTTTTTATTTTTGCTATACCAGTGTGCAGACCAATGTCGTCTGTATATACCCTAATCGTAAATCTAACTAAAACGTCGTCCAATCTAGCACAATCCAGGTTGAATTTTGACCCTTATTGAACCTGAATTGAAGCTCATTAAATCCAATCAAATTGAGTTGACACCCACACAGGGGCAATTATAAGCGAAATAACTTCAACTTATTTGGACAAGGAAGAACACTTTTCGAGTTGTTGCATGCTGGCTTTCCAAGGAAAAGTAAATTTCATTATACTCGAATTTTTTTATCGAAAATAATCGAAGGTGTTGGAGAAGTTCTTTCGGCTGGTGGACGCCGACAAGGACGACGTTGTTTCAGTGCCTGAGATCATGGAGACCATCACCAACATGACTATGCCAGGGTAAATACCCTGAAAATGTTCAAGAAACTTTGATTGGTTTTTTTTATTCATTTGGCAATTATGCATTCTGCTGTGCAGGGATAGGGAACATAGTTTGACAGCCGAGAATTTGGCACTTTTAGAAAAAATGTTCCGGGAACACATGAGCCGGGACTCGGAGATTCATCTCGATGAGTTTAGGGCCATTCTCAATTCCAAAAATGTGAGTATGAACCATCTTTATTTTCTAAATTACCCGATTTCGCACGCCAAATCCCTAGGAAAAAATTTATTGAATAATGAGCTAAAGAGCAAAACGAAAACAAACGAAAAAGGTTACGTGTGAAATCCGTCCATTATCGTGAGAATAATAAGACACCACAAAAAAAATGAATGGCTGCCAAGTCCCCGTGAAATTGAGTCAAGTTCTGGCTGGTATAAATTTGCAAGTTGTGACTATCAGCAGTATTCCAAGACGGTCAGTTAGAACTTTCCCTGATTTTTTTTTGCGAGACGCATGAATGACAAAAGTGCACTTTTCTTGGTGTCCTTGCAGCCGTTTTTTGCAGAGAGGGTTTTTAGCATCTTTGACCGGGATGGATCCGGTGCCATTTCTCTGGCCGAGTTCCTCGAGTCCATGGGCCGGTTTGCAACTCAGAATCACGACGAGAAAATAAGCTTCCTTTTTCAAATCTATGACGTTGATGGTGAGTTGGAATTTTACAATGCTAAAGCATCAGTGGTTATTTTCACTACTCAACTATTATGTGTTCACCGATGAGTAAACTATGAAAGACTATTATATACGTTTGCTTATGGTAATTAATATGTTGGAAAAATATTTTCAAACTTATAAGTACATTACCATGTTTTGAAAAACAAAGGTTTTTCGGCCTTCGCAATTTTATTCAATTCAAAATCATAAAGAACTCGGCGACTTGTGAAGATCTCCTACCGGCTTTTTGCGCAATTGAACTTGATGGCTTCGATCACAGTTTCCAAAATCATAAAATCACCGTTTCAATGACAAGATTCTCATATGATTTCTTGCAATGTTGTATAGCTTCAAAATGTCAGTTTCTCGTCTGAAAATGTTCATTTTACTGAATTTTCGTTGCAAAAAAAGAATATTGCTTCAAATTCACAACAGTTTTTTAGTTGTTCGAAGGAATTGACAAACATCTCGTATTCCTAGGTGCATTATTTTCAGGTCAGATTATCGAGGTGAAATGTCGAGAATTCTCACCAGAATGCACAACATGTTTTTGATGGGGTATTATTAGCATGTTATTGAGGACGCTCTTGTGTGGGTTTTTTTTATTTTTAATCAGGGGATGGCCTGATTCAGAGGACCGAGTTGCAGGCTGTGCTTAGGGCATGCATGGATGAAAATGGCATGAATTTCAGCGATGAGCAAATTGAGGACCTCACGTATGCCCTGTATGAGGACGCAGATGCCACAGGCAACGAAATCACTTACGATGCCCTCAAAGCCCAGCTCATGAAACACGAAGGACTGTTGGAGAACCTCAGCATTTCGTGAGTATAATAACTGCATTTTCAGTTTTACCAACAGTTCCGATACTTTTTTCCCCCATAAGTGGAAAAACTGCTGTGTCCCCTGCAGAACGAAATTCCCAAGAAGAGTATCGGTTATTTGCATTTGATGACTGAAGTTGGGAGCAATGACTCGTGTGAATTTTCTTTCCTGCCTGATTTTCTTAGTATTTCTTTCATGGAATATTTGTTTTGAACTCCTACATATTTGTTTTGAATTTTATTCTGTCCCGGCTCCAGCCGCTTCAGTTTTCCATTTTTATTCTTGCATCAGCGGGCATTAAATTACAATACTGTACATTAGAATACAAGTCCTCTTGTGCTTTTTTTTTTTTTTTTTTGCAGAATTGAGAGATGGCTGGTGCCTCCGAAAAAGAGCACCCAGGGCAAGTCGCACAGTTTCCAGCTTCCTTACCAGCTGACAATGCCTTACATAAAGAACAACTATGTGTATTTGATCTTCGTGGGACTCATCATTGCCACAAACATCATCCTGGCAGCCAAGAGAATTTACGACTTCCGGACTTCCAATGGCTTTATCATAGTGGCGAGGATATGTGGTGAGTTCATGACAAATTTCAATTTTTCTATTATATGCTCCTGCTGATGTGTGTATATGCAGCTGCTATATATGAATAAGGTTACATTATTATCCCAATTGTATTTAAAAAGCCATTTTAATTTTTTTTTTAATTTGTCAACTTGTACAGAAATCCTCTTTGGTAAAGAAAAATATTGAACCAAGTTTTTGCCTGATTTGTGGTTATCATATTGTGTTGTAATTCAAATATGAATTCCTGATGGCAACACAAGTATAAATGCCAAATTTAGTTTCAAACATTGGTAAAATTTACATCTTTCGGTACCAATGTTTTTTTAATCAAACCACTATATCAAGCACATGCCCAAAATTATCCCTGCATTCATTGGGTTATTGCAGCCTGATTTTTGGAACAGCAGGCGAATACTGCATCATTATTTCCACGCTGCAATAATTACAATCATTTACCTCCCGTTTCGAAATAAAGCGGGAAAGTTGGAAAAGGGGGAAATGGAAATGACCAAATACTGTATTACTCAACTTGAAATAGTATACTCGTATATAATAATGATAATACAATGCAGTAATTTGAAGAAGCTCATGCGCTGAATCAATCCTTGTGCACACTTTATTTCATTTAAAAGTTGTCCTTATCTGAGTCCTTCTTCAGCTTTGAACAATTTTAAATCTTGAAAAGCGTAATTCTCAATTCCAGCAAGAAAAAAAAATTGGAATCAAAAATTTCAATCAGTGACTCATTAGCAACTTTTTTTTTCCATTGGCGCACTGATATCTCACACAGAAATAGGAAACTCTGTCTTGATTGTTCCATTTTCACTTAATTATTGTGCTACACCCATTTGCAGTCGGGTTATTGTTGTTGTTTGTAATGTGTGATTGATGATTCTGTTTGTCCATCATCATTCCCCGCGATGAGTTTAGGTCAGTGCTTGAACTTCAACTCGACCTTCATCCTGGTGCTGATGCTGAGACACACGCTGACCTTTCTGCGCAATCACGGACTGGCGAGTGTGCTTCCCCTGGATCAGCACATTTACTTGCACAAAGTCTGCGGTTGGCTCATCTTGTCCTTTGCTCTGGTCCACACAGTTGCTCATTTAGCAAACATAGGTAATATAATGAGGACTTTAAAATTTGGCAAGAGTGGTTCCATACATACTTTTGAAATGGGAATATTCGGGGTTATACTTGGCACTAAAGGTGCTGGGTTTCTGGTATGAATCTCATTACGAAAAAAATGCTAATTACTATATACAACACATTATTCAGCATGACAAACTGTTTCTCAATTGCTGGAAAAGCAATCTCATTATACAGTAACAAACTTCCAAATTCCAGTGTAACAATCTTTCTTTTGAGGAATGTTGAATGGATTCTCCAGTAGAGGTAAAAAAAAATATTCTTAGCTATAATAATGCAAGCACAGTGTGATATTTCTCATTCCCTAACTGGTTCTTGTAACTGTAATCTGTGACAAAAATGTTTCCAAGTAAGTTCCACGAATCATCCTCTCAAAATGAAGAGGTTTGTGCAACTGATGGAATGCATAATTGTACGAGCTAATTTGTTTTTCTGGAGATCATCAAGTTCTTCAAATAATCTGCTGATATGATCTGAAATGCGCGTGTCAGAAAATCAAGATTTAATTGATTATAGACATGTCCAATGTTGAAAATTCCAGTTATGAATTTTGAAAATCTCATTACAAATTATCCAGTTTAAAAAAGAAATTATTCTGAAGTCCCCAGCAGAAGTTTGTTGTAATAAGATTTTACTGTATAGATGAAAATTGGTATTGCTCCTTGATGCTGATCGAAAATGGGTACGGAAAGGTGAGGAAACACCCTTTTTTCCGCCGCATTACTTTCACGAGGGCAGTTTGGTGTTGAAAACTTAATATTACCCTGTGTGCTGTGGATACGACCGGACGCAATAATGATGCGAATTATTCCAATTTTTTGTTTCCTTGTATTATCGGAAATCATAGTCGAGGGCTCGCTATATATACTGATGCTGATGATGACGAGGGGCTAGACTTTCAAAAGTGCCTTTAATACCCGCATTTCCTCATATGTATATATATATATATAGATATAAGCAGTAGTACAGTACAGTAGAGTAAATAATTTTTTATTTTTGTTTTATTCTCCATGAATATAAGCTTACTTCTTCATGCCGGTACTGGACAAGTTGGACTTGACTTACGCCGAGTGGCTGTTCACTACGCGGCCGGCCCCGAATTTCTACGGAAAACCCATCAATTATGGTTTGGTTACTGCTTGGGCGAATCCCACTGGCTGTGCACTGGTCGTCATTCTCATCGTCATGGTGCTCTGCTCACTGCCCTGTGTGCGCAAATCTGGAAACTTTGAGGCATGTGTACTTTTCTCCTATCATCTGTATACATATTATTACATTTATTTATACGCGTTATTTATTTGCTTATTTATTTATTCATTCATTCATTTATTTATAATATATGGTTGGTACTTGTGTGTTAACGCCCGCGATGGCTTTTTTCGTGGGCGTAGTTACATTATTTATATATGGTAAGAATAATGGGATAATAACCTGTATAGTCTTTTCATTCTTCAGCCCATTTATTGCGTTTCCTCAAAATGATGTACTCCTGTATTAATACCAGCAGCATGTGTAAAGTATAGTAGGAGCTGGTTTGATGGGGGCATGCATGGGGATTCAAATGAAAGGATGTGAAAGCTGAATTGAACACAGTCATGCAACATTTCCAACGACTGCTGGGTAATCTTTCCCGACCACCAATTCTGTCGTCAGGGTTATATACGCACTTTTTAAATAAGTATGGATCGAATGAGCGATAAAATAATGAACATTACAGTACTGTATAAGCAAATAAAACAATGATGGATGACCCACATTTTAAAAACCCTCGTTTTTATCCTCAACTTTCATTTTTTATAGTTATCTTCGAAAGGTTTCACTATACACCAGTGATGATACTTGATCACAGTGGTTGATGCAGAATTTTCTTTATAATTCATTGATCGTCATAATTCTCCCAAAAATTCTTCTTGATTTGTTCCGAACTTTTGAAAAATTCAGAAAATTTCTTAATTAACCGGAATACGTTAGGCGAGTACTGTACAGTAATGATATGGATACAATTTGTAACTTGAGCGGTCATACGCAACTTTTCAAAAGTTTGAATGAAATTAAATCAGCTCACAAATACGACTATTGTCAGTCATTTTCAGCAAATGTTTTTACTAAGATTCGTGTATGACAGGCGAATGCCAGCAAGATGGACATTGTTTTAGAATGCTAAAGATATGTACAAGAAAACTGAAATGCTCGAATATCCCAGAATACGTACAGTATTGATTATTTGCGCTTTCAACTGAGTTTATACCACTCATTGATTTATTTGCCCGGCGTGCTGTGATGCTTCTTATGGCAGATCTTAAATTTGAGAAAAAAAAACGAGTTATATATGCACCAATAAATTTGATGCCATCATGTACGACTTATTATTGTTTCTTTTCTGAAAAAGGCACTAGCTATAAATGCCTCGTACAAATAATGATCAATACAGTAATTTCTTGGTATACTTGACGAGTTCCAGCATGCTAGTTTATGCCTACGGTAAAATCTTACGCGGCGGTATCGTGTTAAACAACTTATTTAGTTTCGGACATGACATAAAATGACTACGTTGTTTTTTTGTGTAAATAACCGTCTATAAAATAACCTGAGTGAACGACAACATTCCGTACTGGGTCATTTTGGTCCTCCATTGCAAGAACTTTTGGAAATGGCTGGTCGGACCCGGGATAATCTTCCTGATTGAGCGTCTGGTCCGAGTGGTTCGCATGAGCAGCAATTCCGGAAGGACTTACATTTCCTCTGGGATCATGCTGCCGTCCAAGGTCAGTTTTCCCTGTTTGTTTTGTTTCTTGGTTACATCACCACCACCACCACTAACACCTACAGTCCTACATTATACAGTAGGCTTTATAAATCTCCTCAATATAACGCAGTTATATTGAGTCAACCCCCGCACAGCAGACGTATCAATTCGTGCAGCAGACTAAAGTCTGTTATGTGAAAAGGCTGTTATACAAAAAAAAACAAAATTACAACCAAAATAAGTGAAAAAACACAGCACATAGCACACATTCACAGAAATAATGGTATTTCATATACAGTATAAATTAAATTGGGAAGCAAGGGTGCAGGGACCTGAGGGACTCATGTCCACCGACGAGGTGACGCACAGTACTTCTATATACAGACTGAAGTCTGTTACGTGGATGTGTCTGTTATGCGAGACGAACAACTGTACGTCTCTAGAGGCGGTCTGTTGGGCAAAAAATCTGCTGTGCCGGAGGTCCGTTGTGCAGGGGTTCTCTACTGTATACTGTGCAAATTATCTCCCATCAGGTAACACATTTGGTTGTGAAGAGGCCGCCGAACTTTTTCTACAGCGCCGGGGATTACGTCTTTGTCAACATTCCGGCCATTGCCAAGTACGAATGGCACCCGTTTACCATCAGCAGTGCACCCGAGTTGGAAGGTTAGTTCACGAACCCTTCATACATTCTGCACTCGACTTACTGTTGGAAATCCGGCTTATATAATTAGTCAGATTGCTCGTTTCCTTCTATATTGCAATTCTGCGGTAGAACACCCATCTCGAGTACTGTAAATTCCCATATTTTATATACATGTAACATGTTCGAGAAGATTCCTTGTCTTTGAATTTTATCAATGACGTGACTCGAACAAATACCGTCGATTAATATAAAAAATAAGAGGGAAAACGAGTTTTTCTTCCATTACAGTTTTTTTTTGTTTACAGCAAGGAATATAATTTTAAATGCCTATTTTATTGTACACATTTGATTCCATTTTTTGAATCCCATAGTTGGGCAGATGCATTGATGGAGTTCATCGTAGGGTAAAAATCACGAAGAAGCATCATATGCCAAATGCAAAATTTATTTTCAACGTTTCTGCATGCATGCTTTGCAACAAATAATTCAGAAAGCTGGATTGAACCTAATTTGAAGAGTGTTTAAAATTGTATGTTCCGCAAACTTGATCATTATTTGGATTTGTATGCAGGTATTTGGACGTTGATTTTATTTTTCTTCATGAACTATACGCGCCTATATTAGATTACATTTGGCTGCATATCCGAGGAGTCGGCCAGTGGACGAATAGACTGTATAATCACTTTGCTGCTGAGCAAGCCAAGCTGGAGAATATGAAACACACTGCAATGGTGCCCATGGAAGGACTGCTGAAAGGCCTGACAGTGCCCAAGAAACCTGCCAAGGGCAGGCCAAGATCAGGATTCCAGAACATCAAGAGGTATATAGAACTTCCTTCCTTCCTTCCTCCTTGATTTCCTTCCTTTCATCAGTTTATACAGTATATCCTCTTTTTCACTACAGGTAACTCTGACGAGCTATAATTTTAACATGACTCACATTTTTCTCAACTCACTCATCCAAATAAGGACTGTATCATACATGGCCTTGAATGTCGTCGACCATTATGAGCAGAGGCGATATTCACTTTTTTTTTTTTCCTTGCATTGTTAAAGCAAAGATGCATGTTTAAAGTAAAGTATAAGGTCCATAGAGTCAGATCATCAACCCTGAGTCACAATTCTTGAATGTATGGCACTGTACTACAGTACTGCTGAACAGAATATATGCCAAGCACACTTTACATACGTTACCCTCTGGAAAGCTGAAAATTAGTTTAGGTCCCAATTTGATACATTCGGTAAGACATGAAGCAGTCGTGGCCGAGTGGTTAAGGCGTCTGACTAGAAATCAGATTCCCTCTGGGAGCGTAGGTTCGAGTCCTACCGACTGCGGATCATTTTTATTTTTCTTTCCCGACGAATTACCTCGTTCGCGGACTTTGCGCACATACGTGAGAATAAGAGCCATTCCAAACACGGTCCAATTATCATTATTACCACTTGGCGTGTCTTTATAAATCTGTATAGAGTGTGCATGCAGTACACTTGGAACGCACGCAACAAGCACAGTACTGTACTGTATATGGGCAGCAAAAATGCATTGATGATGTGAGACACGCGCAGCATCAGCAGCAGCTTATTTGAGCAAGATGAGGCGGGCATACGTATATTATTGTACAGCACGCTAGATTAAGAGTGCGCAGCAGTAAAGTACAGTACAGTATATATAGACGCAGTATTTATTCGACATGCACGATTCGATTGGTCCATATCTATATGCTGTGAAGTACAGTATAGACAAAGGATGAGGTCGTCAATCAGAGTTTATTGCCTTTGCTTGTGCAGGAAGATCAGCCAGTCTTTCAGGCCGAGTAACCGAGACAGCGTTGTCGTGACGAACAGCCACGAAATGGCGATTAACGGCTCGGCTTCGGCGGCGGCGATGAGGAACGGCGGCGGCGGTGGCGGCAGTGGGCCTCCTTTGCCTGACCACTTGGTTCGGAAGCCTCCCTGGCTCGGGTACCACAGGTAGTCAGAGCCGGCGTTGTTGCCGCTGAGAGGCGGTTTAATGCTTTTACCGGTTCCACGTCATGTCGTATATTATCGAGGACAATATTACAAATAGTTTATTTTTTATTTTTATTAAAGTACTGTTTAATACAGTACAGTATATATGTTATGGATGTTTATATACAGTATATATGTTATGGATGTTTATATACAGTATATGTTTGCCTTGTATTAGTGCGTGCAGCAACAACTAAAATTATGCGTTACTTTGATAAATGCAAGTGAAGTTATTTCTTATTTGCATAATAGGCGCTGATGAGGACTCGCTCTGTCATTTTCTTTAAATAAAAATGTTGCGCTATCATTTATGCACACTATAATATATCCTCTATATATACAGTACTTAGAAATATAAGTTTGACCGAATGGAACAGTATTTTGAGAAAGAATTCTGCCTAATAATGTGGAAACTGAATTAATGTTTCTATTGGCTGTAGACTTTTTTTTTAAGAGATTTGATTGCAGAAAATTCTTCATTGACACTTCATTCAAGTGTTACAGTATTTTGATTTAAGTGAATAATGTTTTAATAAAAAGAATTTACCCCAAAAAAATTTTGCAGGAATAAAAAAATGTATTTAATCAAAATCATCCCTTGGAACATTTTAAACAAGTTTCTATATTAAACTGCACCAGACAAATGAAACCAAATTATCAAACAGCCAGATCCGGTTAATAATTCGATGCAGCAATTTTACTTTTGTTTTGAATAAACAAGAATCAGCGATTTCAGTGTTATATATTGGCGGTTCCCTTTCTGCGCGAGGTATGAATGAGTACAAAATTAGGAAATTGGAATTAAATTTGTAGATTCTTCTTCTTCTAATAATAATAATAATAATAATAATAATAATAATGATAATACAGTACTAATAATGGCAAGCAAGAAGGGTTTCGGTGCCTGCTGCTACTGTTCATTATTTTTATCATTGTTATTATGTACACACATGATGTATACTGTATATATATTTATAAACTGCAGGAGACTGTCCGTCGTCACCCAGTGCCACGTCTGACGTGTTCCTGCAGACGAGTCCCAGCCCCGCGGGCATGGAGACGGCGACTCACCGGCGCAAGACGCGGTTCCTGAGCACGGGCAAGAAGCCAGCCCTGCCAACGTCCAAGTATTCGCCGGCCAGCACGGGGGCCACAATTACAGTGGTGCCGCCGTCTCAGCGGAAGGTGGAGAAGACCAAGTCTCTGCCGGACTTGNGCACGGGGGCCACAATTACAGTGGTGCCGCCGTCTCAGCGGAAGGTGGAGAAGACCAAGTCTCTGCCGGACTTGGAGGTGAACATGAGGCGAAGGAACAAGAATTTGCTGTGAGTACATCTATACTACTGTACAGTATATATACATCAGTACAGTACTATTATTTTGAGGATTATTCGTTTAATTGGTTTATTATTATGCTGCAATTAATCAATCCTGAGACGTATTGCTGTGTCCTGTACAATTAATCATCATCAATGTCGTCAGCAATAAATATCTAGGCGGTACAAGGAAAATTATATTCAATTGGATCGGGGCCTGCATGATGATGTTTGAATCATCTCCTGCAGGTGATTCAGCAGCCATATATATCTAAACCTCTTTAATTTCCAGCAGAATGCACAGGTGTATTTGGGAATGTCACTGCTGCTGATTGATTGAGAGATGGATTGAATGAACGAATGATTTTTCTTTCCATGATGTCTCAATGTAAAGTTTGTAAACAATGACTGCCTCCCATTTGACAATTAGCACAATTTACAACTATTTGTACAGTACAGTGCATCAGGAGCAATGATTTGAAAATGATACGCTTTTTTTCTTGGTCATCAATCATTCACGCGCTTGCAGACTCAGGGAGAAGGGAAGAGCCACTTCAGAGCACGCGTTTGACGACCAGACCCTGCAGCGGGCAGTGATCCAGGCCTCTGGCAGCAGCAGCAGTGCCTACAAGTCCCCGCAGAACCGGTCGGTGGCCTACAGTTTCCGCTACATGCGCCGCAAACCCACCATTGTGGCCCTGGAGACGCCCAGGAACTCGGAGGCCTTTGGGGACACCAATAGCACCATTGGGCCCGGGACGAGCCAGCTGGCCCTGTCTGCCAACACGAGTGGGATTCGGAACAAGGACCGCCGCTCCGTGTCGGCCAACCTAGTGAGTGCTTTGGAGACTGTGGCGGAAGAGGAGCACACGCAGATAACAGCATCAGGTGCAGGGGGGAAAGAAGGCCACCAGCTGATGGTGGTGCCGGCGGCGGCGGCGGCAGCAGGGGACACCTCGGCTGTCGGCGGCGACAGTAGTAGTAAGGCCATGATGATGATGATGAGCGACGTGGATGAAGAGGTGGCCCTGAGGGAGAGGGAACCCCGGCCTGGGATTGACTACCCTGTGGGCAAAGCCCTGGAGGTGAGCATACAGTACTACACAGTAAAATATTGTACACGTCACTGCAGTTCAAGCATATATACAGTGCAGTACAATACTCTAGTTTCCATGATGTAATTTACTCCTGTCGATGGATCCTGGCAATGCAGATAGACTGTATTTATTGTACACGATTTGGAAATGAAACTTGAATAGGTTTTCATTTTCTCATCATTCCTCAAACTATGCTTGCTCATTGGGACGAAAGCTATAGGGCGAAAAATCACCGATTTAACAAGCAAAATAGCAACATCATCATGGGCTAAAGTAACCCACAACTCTTCTTTTGCCCAAGGAAAATATTTATTTTTATTATGCGTAAGCAATTTCTGGACGAAGGGGTCTAGAAAATGTTTTCAGAATATAAATTGAAATGGCCTCATCCAGGTCTTGCTGCGAGGTGATTGCGCAATTTTCATTGACTGCCGCCCACATTCTCATCCCAATAAGTGGTTGTGACTGCTGATGGAAATGGCGAAATTCATAAGCCATGAATGGCAGCAACCCTTGGAATTAATGCCACGTCAATTTCAAAAAATTCTCAAGAGAAATGCGGTGGGTTAATCAAAAAAAAATCAGCAATATGGATGCCTGATCTCTTGAGTGAAGAGCAGAAGGCAGTCATATTTAGGGAGACGTTTGCAAAAAATTTTCTGGAAAATATGTTAAACAGGGGGCTGAATTTCTTTGTTCCTGTGTTGTGAACAACTGTTGTTTTGCAGCTCAATCACGTGCCATTTCAGTTAATATTCTGTGTGAATATTAGTTGTACCCCTCGTATTATCATGGGTCAACCTGCCAACTTTGTAATGGCCAAGAGAATTTCGTCTGCATGGGTTAATATCCTGATGGTGGATTATTTTTTGCGTTTGTCTTTGTTTTGGTTCATTCATGAAAGTTTTGCGTTATGCGGGATAAATGGGTGTACAGTACTGTGCAATTGGTCAGGTTATTATAAAGGCATACAGAGACTGACATTCTTGTACACTGCCTGAAGAGGCCGGGGCACTAAATTATTTGCGGAAGATGAGGAAAGTATACTATACCCTGAACTGCAGAAAATTTGTAAATTCTGCACGCTCTGTGCTGCAAATGGAGCATCAAACACTTTTTCTTTCTTTTCTTTTTTTTTTAAATTTAGTACACCTTTGGTTATTTGTGATGATGTGTTTGTCTTGAATGTACGTCCACACTATATGTACTGTACTGTACTGTACTGGAATAGATTTTCCTCGACGGGCCTTACGGAGCCCCTTCCAGCCACATCTTCCGGGCCCAGCACGCGGTACTCGTGGGCACCGGGATCGGAGTGACCCCGTTCGCGTCCATTCTGCAGTCCATCATGCACAGGTACTGGAATGCTCGCCAGTCCTGCCCCAACTGCCGCTTCACCTGGTGCTCCACCATCCCCAAGTCCATCATGCACCTCCGCAAGGTGAGCAACAACATCAGACTCTCGGTACAATACTGTATACAGTATGTACGTATTTATTTATTTATTGTACTGTACTGTACTGTACGTAGAGTGTAGTGTGTGCAGATGAATGTGTTTTTAATTGCCAGCATGCAAGCCCAACCACTTATTGATCTTCAAGCAGCAGCAGCAGCAGCATTTTCTTATACTGCAAATAGCCCCTTCATCCATCATCAACGCCATTGTGTATATACAGAGTATATATGGATGCTGGAGGGTTGACCGAATCAATAATTGAGCGACTCGGTGTCTGCATATTATGCAGTATTATATTGCGTGTATATATAGGCGCTGCTGCTGCATGCTGGGGTTGTTTGAGTCATGATGATGGACATGCTCACGTACTTCTTCTCATTTCCCATTTTATTTATTGTACTCCAGCAGTAGCAACACCACTTTCCTTCAAGAAAGATGCGCACCTTGAATTGTTTGAAAGAAAAATTTAAGAAAAAAACATCATTATTGTCCTCGAGTGAAACGGGCTCAAGTTTCTCATCTCAAGAAATTCATTCGTTTTGAAATTCTTGTGCGTGAAAATATTATTTTAGACTCGTAAAAGGCTATCGAGGGCTTTAATTTATGTGTCCATTCGTATTTGCTTTTTGCTATAGAAGGGATACAATACTAATTTATGAAACTCGCCTTTTAATGAGTTGCCAAAAATATAGAGGGAAGTTCATTTGAAATTATTCCACGAATGACCTACTACATACATGTTTCCAAGTTGAAAATACTGTATTGCACCTGCATCTGCATAGCGAAAATCCAAACGTTGACTTATTAGTTTCTTAATTTTTTTCCACATTTTTTGAAATGGATTTCATGCCTAACACGTGTGCCACAACTAGAAATGTTGTGCAAAACGTTATAACGTATATAGTGTGATGCGAAAGTTTGATTTTCTTGAAAGCATGCGTGTGTCAGCATTATAACTAAACTTCACTTGCATTTTCTCTCTTTCTGTAATGCAACATGTGACCAACAATAATAAATGGATCAAATATTATTCATCTATGCGCCAAAATACTCTCCACAAGGAATAAGGGCAAATCAGCAATTCTGACAATTACACAGTATTTGTGCAACATCATCCGTCATACTATACTTGAAATTTACTAGTGTATGTGAAGGCAGTTACTTTAGTAATTTCTTCTGGAAACAGGTGGACTTCTTCTGGATCAACCGGGACCAAATGTCCTTCGAGTGGTTTGTGGAGCTCCTGTCGCAGTTGGAGATGGAACAGGCAGAGTTGGGGGGAGCCATGGAGAGATTCCTGGACATGCACATGTACATCAGTTCTGCTCTCCAGAAAACTGACATGAAGGCTCTTGGACTCCAGCTGGCCCTGGATCTGCTGCATGAAAAGGTACAATATAGCAAGCTTTTCTCTTTTTACTTGTTGAAAATGTCAGCTCTTTTATTTTTTTAATTCTTGATTAAATAATGTTGAGGGAACTTATGCCACAATAAAAGGCATTTCATCCTGATGGTCAGAGTATAGAAAACAGTGTTATGCAGTACTTTTATATACATTGCCTGAGTGTGAACTCCTTTTTGTTGTCTTTTGTCCTGCAGGAAAAGAGGGATTTGATCACTGGTTTGAAGACCAGAACTGTAGCTGGGAGACCCAACTGGACCAAAGTTTTCCAGCAAATCGCAGAGCAGAACAAAGGAAAAGTGACGGTTTTCTTTTGCGGTCCCCCTGAACTTGCCAGAGTTCTCCGCGTCAAGTGTCACGAGTTTGGATTTGCCTTCAGGAAAGAATCCTTCTAAAAAAAAACCAAAAAAAAATTAGGATGCTGATGCACATGAGTATACAGCATATATATATTATACGTGATTTGATTTGAGCCGGGGAGAGAAAATTTTCGAGTGAAGATACCAATCAATCAGTTTCAGCAGTGCCAAGATGCAATTTTAGCATGGAATATTTTTATTTTTTGTTTCTTCCATCTGGTGCTGTGATAAAACGAAAAAGCGAGTGAGTGAGCTCAAGTATAGTGAGACGAAAGAACTCGGCAGTATTCTGAAGGGCCTTTATTACTTGAAATTCTTACTGTGTCTGAGAAGTATATATCTTCACCTCGTCTTGATTTAATTTGGACAAAAGAAAAAATTCATCACACTGTACTCGTGTTTGAACACTTCATTAATCTCTGTGCATGCTCTCAAGCTTTATTTTATTTATTTGTTTGTTCGTTCGTTGTAAAGAGAAAAAGAAACACTTTTTCAACAAGGTGGAAAATTTTCCGTTCAAAAATTTCACACTGCTGTACTGCTGTATCATGGGTTTGAATGAAGTTCAATGGGTTCATACAATGTGCCATCAAGTGAATTTATGATTGTTCATGTGATGCGTTTATATAAACTTCGAGGAGAGAACCATTATGGTTTCGAAAGGGGGCCTTTACCAGATTTTTTTTTGTTTGTTTAACATTGATATTCAGCTTGTCAAATACAATTAGAAGCTTCTGTGCTTGAGCATTGTGGTCTTTGATTGTTCACTGGCATTGGGATTTCGAATTTCTCCTGTGCTGATGTTCGGTGGTGAATAAAAGCCTTGTGTGTAATTCAATTTGAACACGCGTCTTTTTTTTTTTCTTCTTTACTTGCTTGAATACGAGGGTTGTCCTAGTTTGAAGCGACCTAGCTCAGTTATTCTTTAGAGTGGGTGTAAAAATATAATGTTTCAAAGTTCTGGTAATTTTTTACAATTTTCAATCTACTGCATAAGTGAAAAAAGTTTCAGTTCATGCCCAGATTTCAGAAGGTGCTTTAAAATTTGTTTGGCCAGCTGAAAAATTGAATTTTTGGATTATTTTTTTACCCATTGTCTTTAAAAAAAATTCAGATGATTGTTAAAACAATAAAAAATTCAATTTCAGTTAGTCTGACAAATTTTTAGGAGCCTGTGAACATGGGTACACAACTCTGGCTATATAACTGGAACTTTTTCCCTTCTCATAATAATGCAGTGAGCTGAAAGAACTACTTTAAAAATCAGAAATAATCCCAGAATCTCGGGACATCATGGCCTATGTCACATTTTGGTTTGTTGGCAATCATACCTTCTCTAAATATCAGAGGTCACGTCCAACTGACAAAAGCCCTGTTATTATTTAAGACAGCAGTTACATATAGCATACACAAGCAGGTTTTCACCTTTATTTCAGTTGATCAATTAATTAACAGCTGATCCTCTGAATCAGAGAAAGTTTATTGGACCACCTCAGTTTAAAAATAAAATGAAATAAAAAATAACGAGTGTCATTGGCACGATTTGAAAGTGTCTCGGTGTTTGCGCATGAAATCGCCCAGGTTCTTCTCGCAAATGGGGTTCTGCCACTGGCCCTCGGCCTTGAAAGCCGAGCCAACAATGAAGGCGTCCGCAAGTGCGTACTGATGAAGATTGGTCGCGGCAATCCCGGATCCGATGAGCACTGGAACCCGGGAGACGGCTTTGAGACGTCGGAGTTGGTCGACGTCCGCGGGATCCCCGGTGGCCCTGCCCGTGAGAACGAGGCCGTCGGTGCCGAAGAATTCCGCGGCCCGGGCCGTGTCCTCCAGCGAAGTGTCGCCAGTCACTGCGTGCGACGCGTGTTTCTTTTTGATGTCGGCGAAGATTCGGATGGACTCTGCGCCGATGGACTTCCTGTAGCTGCGAATGTGAAAAAATAAAAATAAAAATAAAAAATACAGATAATTAAATTATGCATGTATGTTCAGTCGGGCTGCCTTCTGCGGGTAGGGTATCCTGTCTTATAAAAGTTCTCCAAAAAAGGGATTCAAATGGCACAAATGTATTGAAGAATATAAATTCAGAAGGCTTTTTCTGTTGTTGCTTCAATTTAGCAATCTTGTGTTTAGCTGGCTCAAAGTATGACAGGAATCGAATGTACTGTACTGTATGTTGATCTTGCGTCTCTTTGATCTCAAGCATAGAGGATGTCCCAGCACAAATGGAAGCGTATTTTACGACAGTATGGCAGCAGCATAATTCTTCTTTTATTTTTATTTCCCCCACGTATAGAGATCACGCAAAGAAAGGTTTGGTTGCCCAATACTGCGCATTTCGAAGCTTCGCGACAAAAAAGTTTATTTTACAAAAAAGTGTTTTAAAAGGAATAAGAAACGCGCGTCGTATCGAATTTTATTTGGCGACAAAAAAGATGGATGAGAAAATCGTGATCTTTATTTCAAGAGATCAAAGAACTGTACTGCGTTAGACTTGACAAAATATTTAAAATTTTGCGGTTCTATGTGTAATATTCCAACAACGTTTTCACAATGGTCGTGAGTTGGATCATTTTTTTTTTCCTGCGCAAAATACACCCATCAGTATTTCACGTCTTGAGCATTGCAATTTTTTCAAATGACGAGATATACCGTAGCAGGGGCCCGGCGCAGGCGTCGATCCATCCTTCGTCGGCCACGTGGGCAAACACAAAGTTCTCGACTCGCACAAAGTCGAAGCCTGTAGCCAGGGCCACAGCCAGGGCCTCGCGATTGGCACTGGATAAATTATGCATGTATGTTCAGTCGGGCTGCCTTCTGCGGGTAGGGTATCCTGTCTTATAAAAGTTCTCCAAAAAAGGGATTCAAATGGCACAAATGTATTGAAGAATATAAATTCAGAAGGCTTTTCCTGTTGTTGCTTCAATTTAGCAATCTCGTGTTTAGCTGGCTCATCAAAGTACGACAGGAATTGAATGTATGTTGATCTTGCGTCTCTTTGATCTCAAGCATATAGGATAAATGGAAGCGCATTTTAGGACAATATGGCAGTAGCATAAATATTTTTTTATTCTTTTTTTTATTTTTTTACTCCACGTATAGAGGTCACGCAAAGAAAGGTTTGGTTTCCCAATAATGCGCATTTCGAAGCTTCGCGACAAAAAAATTTATTTTACAAAAATGTGTTTTAAAAGGAATAAGAAACGCGCGTCGTATCGAATTTTATATGGAGACAAAAAAAAGATGGGTGAGAAAATCGCGATCTTCATTTTAAGAGATAAAAAAAAAACTGTATTGCGTCAGATAACTTGACGAATTCTTTACAATTTTGCGTACATTTTGTGGTTCCATTTGTAATAAATACTGTATTCCAACAACGTTTTCACAATGGTCGTGAGTTGGATAATTTTTTTTTTCCTGCGCAAAATACACCCATCAGCATTTCACGTCTTGAGCATTGCAATTTTTTCAAATGACGAGATATACCGAAGCAGGGGCCCGGCGCAGGCGTCGATCCATCCTTCGTCGGCCACGTGGGCAAACACAAAGTTCTCGACTCGCACAAAGTCGAAGCCTGTAGCCAGGGCCACAGCCAGGGCCTCGCGATTGGCACTGGCCAGCACCTGGACACCAGCTGGCACTCGGTCGCCGATTTCCCGGCGCACTTCCGCGCAGATGCGCGTCATGCAGGCCACGGTGTCTGGCCCCATCATCCGACTGCCGGGCTGCACATACGGCGTGTCGTGCATGTTCTCCACGAGCACCGCGTCCACGCCGTGGGCCATGTAGGTCCGGGCCTCGGCACAGGCCTGCTCCACGATGCGGTCGATGGTGCACGAGCTGCGGGGTGTGCCGGGCAGGGCCAGGGCGTGCACCATCCCGACCACTGCTGGCCCACGATGACGACCACTCGCGAAAACGTTCCGCGTCATCATCACGGTCGCCGACATTTTTTTCTTCTTCTTCTTCTTTTTCTCGTATCGTCTGCGAAGCAGTGAAGAAAGTTAGTATAATGGAGACAATCACAATATTACGTATTGTGGTGCTGCCTGTTTGACGAATATTGACAATATACCGTCTTCTAGATCAAACGTATCGATTTAAATTTCTTCCAGCTGCTATGGATCGTATTTTGGAGGATAGGAATCTAAACTGATGCATGTATGACGTCCCTGATTCGACGTGGATTTGCACTTGCAGCGAAACTTTATTTATTTTTCATTTCAAATGATTATTCGTCGCAGATCGGGTAGATGCCGTTGGTATTCCTGGGCATTCTCAATTTAGCATTTTTCTTTTATCGATGCCAACAAGTTTTCCTGCGCACGGGTCTAATCCTCATGTTGCCATGTTAGCTATAAAAATCCACGCGTTGCAGTTTCAGAGGATATTGGTTTTTTTGCACATCCTGAATATAGTGTGGGAACATTATTTTTTTTTCCTGTCTGCCGCTGGCAGAAAATTAACGAGAATAAATAATATCCATCTGTTCCCCTGTGCTTCTTATTAAAATCATGGTCACTAAGCACCCTGTGAGACTGGTTTGAATGGAATACAAATTATGTTTTTCAAGTTTCTGAAATTTCTGAAAACCGGAAGTCTTTATAAGGCGACAATAACAACAACACTTTAGTTCAACACTTGATCGAAATACGGTTTTTAAAAAATTTCCTTATTTTTCATCGCGTGGGACAAATGATAATAAATTCCGTATAGCTTCTGAGCATCGAATCGATGATTTTTATACCTGTCTAGAAAAACATATTGGCAGACTTTTCATCAGCAGCAGAGAACTTCAAGTCTTCATAGGCCAAGGTTTTTTTTTTTTTAAAGATGAAAATGCGGTGAATCCTTTTGCGGAACGTAATCGATATATAATCCATCTTCAGAGTGTACAATAAACCACAATCTTTTTGTCTCTCTTTCTCTGTCAAAATAACGAGATATGCAATCACTTCTTTTTTCGTGGACAATATTAAAAACATTTATCGTCGATCGCGTGAAAATCACATTGCTTGTTCACGAGCAACGGGCAGTTTCCAGAAGGAGAATTAAAAAAAAAAAACAATATTCGGATTCACTTTTTTTTTTGCATGGCACGATTTCCGCGGGAAATAATGCTGTTGATGTTCGAGTTCATTTACTCGTGGGGCCATCACCTACTGTTATCTCTTCGTTGCTTGCTTTTGAGATCAAAAACCTGTGGACGATGATGCTTCGCGGATCCAGACGACGATGAGGCAGATAAACGTGAACGAGTTGAATTTCATCAACGTAGCATCATCATCATCATCATCTGCCCTCAAACTTCTTGACAGCGGCGTAAATGGCAGAGCCCGAGGGCTTGCTGGCCCGCCTGCTCGTGCCAGCACTGGCACTCACTGCCGCCGCCGTGGCGCCTGCTGCTGCAGCACTAGCGTCGTCGCGCAGATCCGCACCCACATTCACATGGCCGCCGCCACTGGATGAGCGGGTCTTATTATTGATGGCAGCCTTGTTGGGTTTGGGCCGCAGCGGCGGCCGTTGTTGTGACTGCCGCGTGTTGGAGGTGGCCTCTGTCGGCGACAAGGATGACGACGACGAGAGGAACTGTGCGCGAAGGTTCGCATAGATGGTGTTGCGAGTCCGGTGTTGTTGTTGTTGTTGTGGCGGTGGTGGTGGTGGAGGTGACGGTGGCGCTGCCCCGGGGCGCAGGTTCTCGTACACGTTGGCAGGCTGTATGTAGATGGCGTCCTCTTGACTCGCTGCAATACAATAATGAATTGAGTAATGTCTTGTCACACAAAAAAAAAATTCCAACAAATTGTTCAATAATACAACAAACATTTTCTTATGGCCTGGCAGAAAGCCCATATATAGAGTATACACATTTAAACAAATCTTGTAACAAATTGCCTAATAATGTGTAAATACTGCAGTGTGAATATCTTGGTTAGTGCATCACCAGAACACCTTCTATTCTTATGCCCAGCATACTGCTACAACATCATCATTGAACTTTTTAAAAGACTTGGAATTCAATTTAAAAAAGGTTCTCTCTAAAATCTTGCAGAACCATGAAAACGTGTTACCTCCATATGATTTATCCTCAATGATTCTCTCACAGTAGTTTTTCAATGATAATTATTAGGGACAGGTTGAACGCCTTTTGATTTAAAGCATGCTCAGTAATTGCTTTTTGCTTTGATTTTTGCTGAAAATGGTCCCAATACATCATTCATGCATTTGTAAGAACTGTGATATATTTTTTATTGAATGGATGTGCATGGGGGCCAGATATGTCTAAATGTTTTTAACCTTGGGTATGCTGACAAGCGGCAAATAAAGCTTATTTATCAATCAATCAATTCTAATACAGTACCAACATATAAAACTTTTTTGAAGTCATTTAATATTGATTCTCCAGCTGGAAATTTTCTGACTTATGCAAGCACATTCGTCTGAAATCCCCAATCAAACTGTGATTAACCATTTCTTATTGTAGCTTGAATGCAAGTTGTAATCAATGACACACATGCTTCCAAATGTTTCCTCAATTCATCCTCCCTGAATGAACAGATTGGTTCAACAAATGTTATGCATGATTGAAGCGATTTTTTTCAAATCACACATTAAAAAAAACAATAATAGCAAATCTAAAAATTCCAGAAAATCAGGATGTAATACAGTACATATAAGTATGTCTGAGGTGAAACGTCTTTCGAGTCGTCAATTTAAGGATTTTGTAAATTATTCAGTACTGCACTTAGTGTACTATACATTTTCTGAAGACTACAAAAGCTTGTTGCAACGGCATTTTGCTGTACTACGGTATGAAGAAAGGGATCTCTTTTTTCTTTCACTCTACGCATTGGTATTATACCGAGAGAATGGTCCGGTCTAGGAGCGACAGCTGGCGGCAGAACACGAACCACGTCACCCAGCGCCACGACTTGCGGCTTGTTACCGATGTCCGCGGTGGCTCCTTCTCGGTCCCGCTGGTGGTGCTGCTCATTGCGGAGTCGCTGGTTGATGGCCTGGATGGTGACGGGTGCCAACAGGTTCCGCTCCACGTCGATCTTGTTGCGCTGGCGCCGGGACACGCGTCGCAGTACCGCCTGGCGCAGCGATGGCACCGCGAACACTCCACCGGCCACCAGCGCCACCAGCCCCAAAACGGCGCCACCAATGACCACGGATCTCGGCACTCCGAACAGCTCCTCGTCGGATGGGTCTTCTTGGTTGCACGTGTCGTGGTTATTTTTTATTTTTTTTTTTTTACCCGAAGGAGGAAGAAGAACATACAAAAAAATAAGAACATTGACATCAGGTGAAATTTAAAAATAATTTTCAATTGCGAGGGTCGTCTGGTTTCTGCGTCGAATCTGTAAGAGCTGATGGTTCAACGCTTTTCTTTTTCTTATTTCATTTGTCTTCCAAAATGGAAAGCGTTTCGTTTTAGGAGAAATCGTGGAATTGAGCTAGACACCTTGGAAGATAGAGAGTTGGATTTGAAGCATACAGCTGAATCTCAATAACTCGAAGCTAATCAAGTCAAAAACTTCTCCATGTCAAATCTTTTCCCCGCCTGGATTCTCTCTCAAACAATCCATTGAAAACCAATCATAATTCCAAGGCTTTCCGCCTCAAACCTCCAAAACTCGAATTTTCAGGATGCCTTTTGGCCAATATTTCCAAGACACGCGAAAGAGAAAAAGAATAAAAATGTAACTTTGCGTGCTTTAAAAAGAAGTGAACGATTCATTAGGCAAATCAACCCTAACTTCCAAGTTAAGCAGCATGTCAACTCATGTAAGAAGCAATTCAAGGTCAGAATATGGACAACAGCAATTTCCTGTAATTCCCCTTGTATTATAGAACTTAACACATCACAGCGTCAGACATAAAATTTTAAGACTCAGTGTTCTGATTTTTAATGTTTCCGCTTTTGTTTCGCGTGCCCGAAAAAGCGAACTTTCCAAGTCATGCACGGATGGCACAGGAAAAAATAAAAATAAATAAAACCTTATATTAAATATATGCGGTATTTTCCGTTCTTCGTGCTACTCAGCAATTTTCTTGATTTTGCACTCGGAAAATAAACCCAAATGACTGAAATATTCTGCCAACTGTGGTCGTCTGAAAATTTTTCGAGTAAGAACAATACGTTGGTTTCCTAGAATTTTCAGCCAACCCGGTTCATAAGAGACCAGACAACCCTCGTGACACTGTGTCTGAATAAAAAAGAAAATACGGTACAATAAATACTTCTGTGCAGGAGAAAAATTAAATTAAAATAGACTACCGCAGTACAGCGCAAATGCATATTTTGCTGTGCAGAAGCCAACGCTCGAGTCGCCAAAAGGCTCATCATCCAACCACAGAAACAACAAACAAATAAGCAAACAAACTAAAAAAAAGAAAGAAACAGCCGAAAACAAAACCCAGTGCCAGCAGCAGCCACAATAATGTGCTTAAGGTGTGTCGGTGCATAAAATACACCCGACACATGGATATCGTGATGCCGTACCACGTGCTCAGTTCCGTCGTTCTGTTCCACTCACTGACTTATTTCGAAATTTAAAAAAATAAATAAATAAAAAATTTGAAAGTAACCATTTTTTTTTGGGAAATGGGTCTTGAACATGAAGACGATGTTGAATCTTCCACGCATGTGTGGCAAAACAGCAAAGCAATGCAAAACTGAGAGAAGTGCTGCACTGATGACGGCAATATTGCATTGATCAAACAAACGTCACTTGTTCTCGCGGCATATTATTGCCGTACTGTACTTTACTGTATACCCTCGGATCTGACTACAAGAAGAGTAAACAAGCCTCAAACTGGGAGCCTTTCCTCAAACTTCATCACCAGAGGGCTTCATCGAGCCTCTTCCTGTACTGTAGTTTGTAGAAAAGGAGGTTTCAATCCTGTTCAGCACACGATACAATTGCGCGAAATTTGAATAAATGAGCAAAACTTCGAGCCATCACCAGTTTAACTTTTTTATTTATTTTTCATTATCTTACGAACCACGGGTATACAGTATTGGAGTTACGACGAGGGTTCCATTTACAATAAAAAATATTTTCAATACTTCAAAAAAAAGGCTGTTCCGAATACTCGAATAAATGAGTTGAAATGCTTCGAACCACCGGGGAATTAATTTTTAAAATACTCGCAGCAAAATTCTATTCATTTCATGCGGAATCCTTGGCAAAATCTTCCGCAAACTTTGAAAAATTGCAGGGCAAAATTCGACTTCAGCATCATCAGCTTTAGTTGATGGAATGGATGCCGAGATTCACAAGCAAAATAGCCCAATTCTTAAACGAATGTCAGAACTGAGATATTTTGTCACCGATAATAATTTCATAAATATTTAGTGGCACTCAAAATAAAAAAGAGACAAGAAATTCATGCAGCGAATATCATTCGGAAATCTTTCTCCAGTCTTATTTTCGTCGTAATGTATACAGGAAATGCATGTTGAAAATGGCGATGATTGTGAGCGAAAATGAGGAACCCTACCGGGGCTTGCTGAACTTGACCCAAGTCGGGGTTCTCGACAGCAACAGCCCGCCAAGTCATTGACCCGCTGTGAACTGAGCTGGGTCTTTTTCAGGGGGCCCTGATCCTGATCGCATCACACGATGGAGTAGACGGTAGCTTGTACGGTGATTGTGGGGAGGTGATAATTGACACTCAAACAGTTGCCAAACACGACGCAGTTTTTTTCTTTCTTGATACATGTGCAACATTTTCGCAACAGTTTAGCTCCAAGAAATGCGTTATCAGCAGGCGGGAAAAAATATCTTAATTTCTTTTTTTTTTTTGCAGAGAAAATATTTTGGATTCACATTTTGAGAATTTTGAGTCGTGATGTAGAAACTGCACGAAGTAAAAACTTGACGGTTGGTGTATATTTTATTTTTTTTCTACATCACCTTAAATGACCATGGGAACGCAAAAAAGAATTAACACGCTGTGTTTCCCAGAAAGAAAGAAAAAAAAAGACATAGGACCGGATCTTGTACTTGCTTGCGGTTCAAGAAAATGGGGGCTTTCCGGTTTCCTTCTGGGGTAGATTTTTATGGCTCTATAGGTGGAGTATTCTGAACAACTTCTCGATGCAACTTTCCCAATCGAAAATTGACAAACGAGATTGTCTCCCGTGAAGTAAACCACTTCATTTCCCATTTATTCGACGAGACTTTGGCTCTTCTTTTACTCTCCAATTAATCATCATCTTCTGAAAGAATATTGCAGGATACTGCCTTTCTTTTTCACAAAAGCTTCAAAAAAGAGGTTTATACACACGCCTTCATGGCATTTTTTATTGAAAAAGCGTGATCTGGTAAAATTCAGCAAGCTTCATAAATTGCATATTTGTAACAGGAAGTTCCAAAGGTATGCAATTACTGTTTTTAAAAAATGCAATGCTGACATCATAAAGGTATCAATTTTTGGGTAACATGGTGAAAAGGCGAACAAGTGAGTGATGCTACCGAATGGTTCCAAGCATTCATTAGCGGGGATATGCGTGAAAACACTTGTTCGCAATATAATAAGAAATTTAAAATAAAATAACTATATGTAGGCGTTTCACAGCAGAGTGTGCTCCATGACCGGGGCGAATGTGCAGGTTTTTGCGAGTGCCACA